ATGTCAGCTCAGCTCACATCCCCCTCTACTCCCCAGCCCTGCCAGAGACCCGGCCGATCCTCACCACCCCCCGGATCCTGGAGGTGGGCAGAGAGACCACCGTGACCTGCACCTTGGAAGGGGTGTTCCCAGTCTGGGAGGCCCAGGTCTACATGGCGCTGGGGGGCCAGATGCTGAACCCCAGGATCATGAGCCACGGAGACACTCTCAAGGCCACAGCAACGGCCACAGCACTGGAGGCACAGGAAGACGCCCAGATGTCCTGCAACGTGACCTTGGGCGGCGAGAGCCGAGAGATCCTGGAGCAAGTGACCTTGTACAGTAAGAGGGGGCGTGGCAGAATAAAGGCAGATGAGGTCCAGGTGGCTGCAAAGAGGTCTAAATTGACCTTTAAAAAGATGCTGCACGGTGTGGGGACTTGAATAACCTTTAACAGCTCTAGCGTCCTAAATTTGGCAAGGGTTCACAGGAGGGGGAAGACAGGAAGGGAATGGGCCTTAGGAGCTGAAAGACGGGGTCTGAGAACCCCAAGAGGGGCAGAGCTGATGCGGGAGTGGTTGACCGATATCAGGGGCATGGTCACCAGACTCCACGACAATGTCCACTCTTAGGTTTCTTCGGGCCCATCCTGAACCTGAGCCATGCTACCGCCCACGAGGGGACCATGGTGACTGTGATCTGTGTGGCCGGGCCCCAAGTTCAAGTTACATTGGATGGGGCTCCGATCCCAGGGATGGGACTGCCGGCCCAGCTTCAGCTGAACGCCTCAGAGAGCGATGATGGGCGCAACTTCTCCTGCAAAGCCAGGCTTCGGGTGGGCGGAGAAACCCTACTCAAGAACCGGAGTGTCCAGTTGCATGTCCTGTGTGAGTTGGTGACCCTTACCTTTGATCCCTGGGGGTGTGGTCCCTTCCTGACCTAGATACTTGGCCCCTACGCCACTATTGTGCTTTGGGTATTGTGGGTGTGTCTGAGGACATGGTTGTCCCCCAGACGGTCCCAGAATTGACGGGACCCAGTGCCCCCAGCACGTGACATGGAAAGTTAAAAGCCGCCAGGTCCTGTGGTGCCAGGCTCGGGGCAACCCAACTCCTACGCTGCAGTGTTCACAAGAAAGCTCCAGTCTCCGTGTGCCTGTGGGAACTCCAATCACCGTCACCTCAAAACATAACGGCACCTACCAATGCCAGGCTGTCAGCCCCCTGGGCAGTACTACCATGAAGGTGGTGCTAGAAGTTCGGGGTAAGCTGAGGCAGGGCTGTGGGTCTGGATGGGCAGGGGCAGGAGGACCTGGGCTCGCTTTCACTCCAAGCTTCTCTGCACAGATCGGAATGGCCGTTCCGTCACCATCGCCTTGGTGGTGTTGGGGGTCTTGGGCCTGGTGACTGTCTCGGCGGCATTGCTATACATCTACTGCGGAAAGAAGCAGAGCGGCATCTACCATGTGAGGAACGGGGGCACTTCGCTGCCCCTCACGACTAGGCAGCCCCAAAGGCTAGCAGAGGAGGAGACGTCCTGAGCTTCGGGCCTCCTGCACTTCGCTGCCCCTCACGACTAGGCAGCCCCAAAGGCTAGCAGAGGAGGAGACGTCCTGAGCTTCGGGCCTCCTGCATCCCCCAAGTCAAAGACCCCCCGGGCTGCTGGCTGCGTCCCCCGAAAGCACAATCAATAAAAGCCTTCAACTCCGGAGTCAGTGGCTTGATTCTACAGGCGCCCTGGGGCTCTCCTCACTCGCTGCGCGTTCTAAGCAGCTTTGATTGACGGATGAGGGCGCAACCTGTGGCGCTCAGACCGGGCTAGAACGCCGCGAGGTCGGCTGCGTCTTAGCCAATGGACTGAGGGCTTTGGCAGGGAGGCGGGGCTTCCCTCAGCCAATCGGCGCGTGCGCCCACGTTGCCGCTCTATGCCGCTCCTCCCCGCCTCGTTGGTCCCAGAAGGCGCCGGGCTTCCCAAGATGGCGGCCGACGTGTCCGTTACTCACCGGCCCCCGCTGAGCCCGGAGGCTGAGGCCGAAACGGAGGCCGGCGATGCTTCGGAGCGCCGGGTGGCCGAGGAGGAGCTGCCGCCGCTGGATCCGGAGGAGATCCGGAAACGCCTGGAACACACTGAGCGCCAGTTCCGTAACCGCCGCAAGATACTGATCCGGGGCCTCCCCGGGGACGTGACCAACCAGGTAGGGGGGCGGGGGGCACGGGGTGGGAGCGTGGCGGGAAATACCACCCTGCGCGTGCGCGCGGGTGGGGCGGGGGATAAGGCACCGCGAGCCCCGGCGTGGGTGGGACTGCCAGCGGGAGGGTCCTAGCGCGGGCTCCGCGCGGGGGTCGGGAGCGACCAAGTTGTGGTGGGGGGCGGTGATGGAGGGAGGAATCAAGACGAGGCGCCCACGGGATGTTGCTAAGGCGACCACTAGGCTTCTACCCCCAAACAACCGAAGGGGGCGGGGAGCTGGTGGGGGCGGGAAGCCTGAGCCAGTGAGGGGGGTGGGCCAGTGAGGGGCCACTTGTGAACCGGCAGTTCCGTCTGGAACGCGTGGGAACCCACTTGCTCCCACCGCGGAGTGCGCTTTCCCCGCTTCTCCCGCCACCTTAGCGTGGCGGGACCTGGTCCCTGGAAGTTTCCCGTCTCCCTGGAGTCCGCCCCTTCCCTCTCAAGCATTTACGCACGCCTGTCCGAGCCAGATCCGGAAGTTGGCGGTGGGGGAAGGGGCTGACTCCCTTCCCTCAGTGCATGGGGAATTCTCTTGGAAAAAGGCATTTCCAGTCTCCAGGACCTGCGGGACAGGGGGCCCTGTGTTCTGCAGAGCCCCGTCCCCCCAGGGTGATCCCAAAGGCAGTAGCGCCCTTCAACAGGTCTCCCAGGAGCAGGGCGGCTTTTATGCTCTTTGGACCCAGAGAGGTGGAATCCAGTTTGCCCTACCCTGGTGAAAGTACTTCCTCCCCACCCCGGGCACTTAAGCCCTCCAGTACACCTGCCGCGGGTCTGGCCACAGGTGGGCCCGCCTTTGACTGGTGGAGCCGCAGGCGTGTTGGAGGGGCCTGAAGCGGGGACAGACCTCCGTAGGCACAGGCTGGCTGGTTTCCCGTGCCAGCCCTCCCACTGCCACCATCTCGGCTGGGAACACGCTGTTTCACTGGCATTAGCGCCTCGCCCTCGCAGCTGGCTATTGAGAGGCCCACTGGTGCCAGCGGGCGGCACATGGCGCCTCAGGGTGTGAGCTTACCAATAAGCTAGTGAGTCTAGAACAGGGCTCCCCACTCAGGTAGCCCCAGGTGGCATTCCTGCCACCCTGCTTTTGTGCCCAGCACCAGGACCTGCAAGCAAGTTCTATCACTTTCTCGTCTCTGTTTCCTCATCTACCAAATGGGTTTGTTCATCTAACTCGGAGGGATCTGGGAAAGGTGGAGCGTTTTTCTTGCAAGTCGAGGTTCAGCCAACTTAAATGACTTTGCTGGGAGTGGGCATTCAGCTCAGACCTACCTGACTCTCTTCCCAGTCTGGTGGTCTGGTTAAGTGTGCCCGCAGGCCCTGAGCCCGAGCCTGGCCACAGGAGGGCCTGGGCAAGTGGCTGCCTGAGCTGTTTCTACGCTTGTGAGAGGTGGAAGTGGAGGCGGTCACTGTGCTGCCTCCAGCACAGGTCATAGCGGGTGCTGTGGTCGCACCGGGAGCATTTAGTTAGTGGCACCCACACCCACCCACCATGACTCCATTTTTTGGCTTTTGTCCCCGCAGGAAGTGCATGACCTGCTCAGCGACTATGAGCTCAAGTACTGTTTTGTGGACAAGTACAAAGGGACAGGTTTGTGGGGCTCAGAGGTGGGTGGGTGCTGGGAAGAGGATGACCACCACCCCCGAAAGCTGGGAGGGTCCTGGACCAGTTTTTCCCCTCCTAAGATCCAACCCAGCATCACCCCCAGGTCAGCACAGAAGGCTACCCCTACCTGCCTCTGGTCACATGCCTCCTTGATGTTCGTATTCCAGGCTCCCCAGCCTGATAGTGGGGCTTTGAGCTCCCCTGTGCTATGTCCCTTGTCTTCACCGCAGTAACGCCGCAGCGCTCTCACCTCTGTTGCTCTCCCCCTGCCGTCTCTGCCTGGCTTGCAGTCCCCCATCTAGCCTGCTGCCTCCACCAGTGTGCCTGTCCGCCCCAACCAGCCCCCATCCAACAGTCAGGCTCCTTGATCTGACTGGTCCGAGCTCTCCAGAGAATCCACCTGAGGCACCACCTCTCGTGACTTTGTGAGGCTGTGTCCCAGCCTCACCAACTGCTTGTGCGCACAAGGTTCCAGACTGTTCCCTGTGCCACCCCCTTTAGCTGTTTGTGTCCCACAGTGACAGGGCTAGGTGGCTTCCCACAGTGCCCTGGGTACCACCTCCCAGGCTGCTGTTGTGGGCTCAGCAGACAGGCACCTGCCCCGAGGGCCAGCTCTGCTGACTAGGGAAGTCCTCCGTGGACAGGTGCCTGCCTGTATCTATTGAGATTAGATCTTCCAGGGGGCCTTGGTTTTCTGACGGTCACATGGTTGGAAGGCCCTCGAGACCTGGCTGACTGGGAGGCAGGTTGGGGCAGTGCTTCAAAGGCTGGGCCCCTGGAGGCGATCAGGCCTGACTTCTCGTCCTAGTCTGGCCTTCTGCGGTGACAGGCGAGTGGTTCCTTTCCTGAGCCTCTGTCCTTCAACGGTCCCACCTACCTGCTCCGGCTGAAATCGGGCTACCTGGCACGGAGTAGGTACTTGGCAGACTGGGAGGGCAGCATATGGGCTGAACACCTAGGGCTGTTTGTCAGGCATGAGAGACTTCATTCAGCTCGTGTCGTTTTTTGGACAGAGGTGTGTTCGTCACAAGCTGGGGACGGGGGTGGGGGCTGAATGGTTGCCAGTCGGCCGGCAGTTGCAAGCCCAGCAGTTCTTCGGGAGAGACAGGCTTTCTCCTCTGGGGCTGCTAGTCGGCAGTAACTCAGTGGGTGCTGGAGACACAGCTGTGACCCCGGCAGGTGATCAGGTCAGGGGGCAGGAGGTTTTGCACACAGGTGGGGGGCCAGCCTGGCGTGGTTCCAGCCTGCGTTGGCTGGTGTGACAGCGACCTGCTGGGGTGAGGTGGTCAGAGGCCCCTAGAGTGCCTGGTGCTTTGGGTGTCACTTTGAAAGCTCTGTGTGGCTTTGGGCGCAGTGAGACAGACTGAGGCAGGCTCCCAGGGGGTACAGGGGATCTCAGTAGCCAGCCTGCCCAGAGTCCAGGTCTTCTGCAACACTAACCCCCCCCCAACCCGTGGGAGATTGATCCAGTGGTCTCAAGGAGTGGCAGTGACAGCTGTTAAATTGCCACTGTACCCCAAATTTATTGAGCTCAGCTGTTAAATTGCCACTGTACCCCAAATTTATTGAGCTCAGCTCAATACCCACCTGAACGGTAAGTCAACTGAGGCAACTTACCTAGGCAAGGGCTGGGACTTCAGCCCAGAGCCCGCTGGCCACAGGCTTCTGAACCTTGATGCCACAGTGAGCTGATGTCACACACCAGGAACACCTGTGGCTCATGAGAACACCTGGAGCTTGTTTCCGAGGCCACGAGCCTGGCGGAGGGCCTGGAGCAGCCCTGGAACCGGCCAGCGCGCCTGGCTGTTAAGGGCGTAGGGTCCCTGGGTCTGTGGTTCTGCCGTGTGGGCATGTTGCTGTCCCCCCACCCCCCGTTGATCCTTGCACCCCTCCTCCCACAGCCTTCGTGACGCTGCTGAACGGGGCGCAGGCTGAGGCCGCCATCAGCGCCTTCCATCAGACTCGCCTCCGGGAGCGGGAGCTGTCTGTGCAGCTGCAGCCCACGGACGCGCTGCTCTGCGTGGCCAACCTGCCGCCCAGCCTGACGCAGCAGCAGTTCGAGGAGCTGGTGCGGCCCTTTGGCAGCCTAGAGCGCTGCTTCCTGGTCTACAGCGAGCGCTCGGGCCACTCCAAGGGCTACGGCTTCGCCGAGTACATGAAGAAGGACTCCGCCGCCCGCGCCAAGTCTGACCTGCTGGGCAAGCCGCTGGGCCCGCGCACCCTCTATGTGCACTGGACCGACGCAGGCCAGCTGACCCCTGCCCTTCTCCACTCCCGCTGCCTCTGTGTCGACCACCTGCCTCCCGGCTTCAGTGACGCAGACCCCCTGCACAGGGCGCTCTCGGCCATCCACACCCCCACCTTCTGCCAGGTGAGCTCAGTGCAGGGGCTGGGGGTGTGGTGCCAGGTTCAGAGGACCCAAGGGGACTGTAGGGGGTATCATTCACCTGCTCTGGCCACCTAGTGCCCTTGTCAGGAAAGCCAGGATGTGTTAGAGATGAGCCCGGTGGCGGGGGTTCTCATGTAGACCCTGCCAGCCTCAGTCTACCCCTGAGGACTCCGCAGGCAGCACTGGCTGATTGTGAAGCTCAAGGGCACCCTCAGCAGAGGTGGTTAGGCACCCCGGATCGCGGCCCTGGACTGGGAGGACCCCAGGCCACTGTTCCTCAGGGTCCTTTCTGAGCCTTGGGTTCTCTCCCTGCCTGCTCTCCTCCAAGCCTGTCCACCCTCACCCCTCCGGGGTTAGCTCAACAAGGCGGTCATTTAGCCACCCATCGGCACTCTGTACAAAGGGTTAGCACGAACCGAAAGGTTGGGGGTTCAGGCCTGCTCAGGGGCACCTCAGAAGACACCTTTAATGTCTGCTTCTGGAAAAAACACCTGTCTTCGAAGTCCCACGGAGCACAGTTCTGCCCAGGGCTGACGTTAAGTTGGAGTCAACTGTGCGTAGGACAGAGACAGCAGGTAACATGCGGTGAGCTGAGGCCTGGGCCTGGCCCTCCTCCCCCACCCTTCCCTCGTGGCCTCATCCCGGGTCCCCGAGCAGATGCTTCTCAGCTCTCATTGTCTTGTCATGTTAGAGGCAGGTAGCCTGACGCCGAGACACAGGGGTCACGTGAGGGGCCCAGGGTTACAGTCAGGCCATGGCAGAGCCAGACTTAGAATCTGTCACCTGGCTCCAGGCCTCCAACTCCTGCACTTGTGACCTCAGGTACCCCGGGCACCTGATGTGACCCAGGACCAGGTGCCCTGGAGGCCCCCACTTGCACGTTTACCATCCTTTCATTCTGCTTCCCTTTAGTGCACAGGCCCGCCGCCCCAGGCCCCCAGCAGGGCTGCAGGACATGGTGATGAGATTAAAGGCCTCGGGGTCACGGCTGGCCAACTGGCATGTCCTTCTCGGTGCCTCAGTTTCCCCAGCTTTAAATGGGGTGACGGCTTCCTTCCTGCCATCGTTTTTCTAGTGGTCCCTGAAGTCCTGAGGCAGCCCCCTCCCCAGAGTGGACCATCACTCTAGGTGTCCCGAAAGGGATGGGCCCAGTGGAGGTCAGAACCTCAGTCCCTCTGGTCAGGGTCTGGGTGGCTTTAGATGCCCTCTCACACCTCCAAGTCTCCGGGTCCTTCTGTCCTGTGGGCCCATTGGTTCTGGTTTGTGCGCCCCCTACTTTGCATGCTTGTAGAGCAGGGCTGCATCTGGAGGGTTTTCGGTGGCTAGTGTCTCCAACAGAGGTTGCCAGCCCTTTGTTCCGAGTTGCCTGTTTGAGGGGTGGTGGGGTGGGGGTGTGTGCTGCTGGAGTGTCTGGAGAGACACTGGTTTTCTCGACGCTCGTATACATATGTGAAGAGCTTTCTGTCAGGAAGTAGTTTCCATGGGGAAGGCAGCCCAACCCAAGTCCATGGATGGGTCCCATGCTGGCACCTTGTGCCCCCTCTCTGGTCTGGCCTCGCCTTGTCCCCACTTGGTTTATCTTGGGGGTCTTTCCACTGCCAGATGGACGGGTCATCATTCCTACCAGTTAACAGTTGTGTGCAGTCCGAGTCTGACCCGTGGGGAGAGCACAGCAGAGTTGGGCTCTGTAGGGCTGTGGGATAGACCCAAGACACCAGTCTTCAGCTTGATTACCTGTTTCTGCCACCCACAGACCCCACTGGGCCTCCGCTTTAAGGGGTGGAGCCACGTATGGCCTCCTGTACAGTGCAGAGTAGCCAGGCCAGCCACGAGTCAGCCTACTGTAGTGCCAGCAGCCAAATGTCCAGAAACCCTGAGACCCATCTCCGAGCCTGTGGCAGTCACTCGTTACCAAAACGAGACGGGAACCGCCAAGGGGCTTGCTGGTCTTTGCCCTGGTGGCTTATGCAGAACCATGTCAGCCTGCCCCAGTCCCTCGGGGAGGACATGCCCCCACCCCCCTTCTAAACAACCTCAGTCCTGTAGGACTTCAGGTCCCGGCCTTCCAGCTCCAGGGCCAGGCTGACCCTCAGTGTCCCTGGCTGAGCCACAGTGGCCTGGGGATGTGCTCATGAGCTAGGCGAGCTTGGGAATCCCCATCTAAGCCCTTTGTGGCACAGTGTGAAGGCCTCCGCTCTGCCCTCTCCTGACTGTGGGCCCACTGACCCAGCCTCAGCTGCCTCCCCTGGGAAATGCGCAGGGTACTGGGGATGAATGGGGACCAGGGTGAGGGCAGGGCTCAGGACAGTGCCTCTGGGGCTCACTCCCATGGTCCGATGGAGTCCAGTCACTGATGACCCCTCACTAGGCCTGGCCCTCTGTTCCTCCCCCCCCACCCCCCTGCCCCACAGCTGGCGTATGGCCAGGATGGGCAGCTGAAGGGCTTCGCTGTGTTGGAGTACGAGACGGCTGAGGTGGCAGAGGAGGTCCAGCAGCAGGCCCACGGGCTGACCCTGGCAGGCAGCCGCCTGCGTGTCTCCTTCTGTGCGCCCGGGCCCCCAGGCCGCAGCATGCTGGCTGCGCTCATCGCTGCCCAGGCCACAGTGAGTACCCCAAGGGGGTGGTGGGAGGGGTGCGTCCCAGCCTAGGTTCTGAACTGTCTCTCACCTCCGGCCTTCCTCAGGCCCTTAATCGGGGCAAGGGGCTCCTCCCTGAGCCCAGCATCCTACAGCTGCTCCACAACCTGGGCCCATCAGCTTCCCTGCAGCTGCTGCTGAACCCAGTGCTCCACGGTGGCAAACAGGGTAAGACCCCACCCCCTGCCCTGCCCCGCCCCAGCCTCCTCACGCTGTACTGTGCCAAACGGGTGGTGGTGGAGGTCCCTGCCCATCTGGGGCCACTGCCCACTTCTCTGGGTCTCCTCCCAGGCCTCCTAGGTGCACCGCCAGCCATGCCACTGCTGAACGGGCCAGCCCTGTCCACAGCGCTGCTCCAGCTGGCCCTGCAGACCCAGGGTCAGAAGGTAACTGCCCACCGTGGACCCTGGGGCTCCTCCCCCATGCACAGCACCCGGCAGTAGCCACTTGGGGTCGCACGTGCCCTTGGCAGGGTGGACACCTGGCTTGTGATTCAGCCCTGTGCTAGGATACTCCCCTCGCCACCTCTTAGGGCAGGGCTTCCCTTCCCCCAACCTGAGCATGCTCCTGACCTGGATGGTCCAAGCTGGGCCCAAGGACTGACAACCCTACCAGGTGTGGGGCTGGGACTCCTTCTGCCAGACAGACGACAACTCTAGTTCTCAGCCACTCCACCCCACCCACACACTCCTGCCTTGAGGTGGGTGTGTCTGGTTGTAACTGAAACGGGGTGAGTGTGTGTTGTGTGCTCCGTCATTTGGCTGAAGGTCACAGTCATTGTGTGTGGGATGGCAGGCTCTGACACAGAGTGACTTTAGTCCTTATTATTCCCTGCCCGTGTCACACTAGGACCAGGGCGGGCCATGCAGCAGGCCTGGGCAGCAGTTGGCTGAGCAGACAGGCTGTGGCTGGGCTTGCTGGACAGTCATCATCCACAATGCCAACTGACTTTGCTTTGTTCCTAGAAACCTGGCATCCTAGGTGACTCTCCCCTGGGCCCCCTGCAGCCTGGAGCTCCTCCGGCCCAGCCCCTCCTTGGAGAACTGTCTGCAGGTGAGACAGAGTCTCACTGCTCATGTCCCCTGCTCAGCCCCCTTTCCTCCAGGGAGTGTCTGCTCCCAGTGGGTGGCCTTGGTCCAGGGGCCTCTTCTGCCTGCTGGTGTCCCTGCCTGGCTCTAGGATACCTGGGGGATGAGACCTTGTGCAGCTGGACCGCTGACCCCTCACCTCTTACGTAGGAGGGGCCCTGCCCCCCGAGCTGCCATCCCGGCGAGGGAAGCCGCCGCCTCTGCTGCCGTCCCTGCTGGGCCCCTCTACAAGTGACCGGGAGGCCCTGGGCCTAGCCCCACCAGCTGCCCAGCTCACTCCACCCTCCGCCTCCACGGGGCCCCGGGGCAGTGCCCTCAGAGGCCCCCAGAAAGACCCTCTGCCAACACCCCCAGGGGTAAGGCTGCGGGACACTGCACCCCCCTCTCCCAAAGCCGGGACCCCCAGCCCCCTCCCCTCTGCTGGAGCCTCACAAATACAACCCCTGGCACAGGTCTCGCTGCTGGGGGAGCCCCCTAAGGACTTCCGGATCCCCCTGAATCCTTACCTGAACCTCCACAGTCTACTCCCAGCCAGCAACCTGGCGGGTAAGGAGGCCCGAGGCTGGGGGGCTGCAGGGAGGAACCGCCGCCCAGACGAGGGCCCCTTGCCTCCCCACCCAGTCCCTGGAGGGGGCAGCAAAGCCTTCCACCTGAAGTCCCGCCTGCTCAGCACTCGTCTGCCCCCTGAGCCAGGGCTGCCTGATGGCTATGGCTTCGACTACCCCTCGGTAAGTGCCCCTCTCTACCAGAACCGGGCCAATGCCATGGCAGAGCGGGACCATGCTGGCCACAGCCCCTGTCTGCCCGAAATCTCCACGGAGTCCGCTCAGCCCTGCTTTCTATCTGCCTGCCCTGAAGCTCTGGCCTGCACCCCTCTGCCTGTCCATCTGTCTTTCTCTCAAGCAGCCTTATCTTGCTTCCCCAGAGGCTGCGCAGGCTCCTTGTTCGCACCTCTGTTCCTCCATTCCTCTTCCCGAATCAGTTACTGTCCAGGCTTCTAATCTCCTTCCAGGTTGGAAGCTGTAAGCCGTCTACCCGTAGGCCATCTCTTCCATACCCCCTTATTATTTATTTAAAATAAGAGCAACTCCCTCCTGAAACACACGCCAACGTCCATACACGGGAACTCACACAGGCAGGGCTCCCAGCTTGTACTGCCAGCCCTACGCCTGGCCCTGGTGCCGTGCCCTTTGGCATGTGGGTATATAGCTTGATTTGGTTGGCCTGGACCACCCTCTCTTGCCCCCATGCTGGCACTGAGAGGAGGGGTGGGCTACCTTGGTGGTAACCAGGCCTTGGAGAGGGAGGGAGGGGCATGCAGGCCCCAACCCACCATGCTGTCTCCACTTTTGTTCAGGACGTGGGGCCTCGGCGGCTCCTCTCCCTCCCACGAGAACCTGCTCCAGGGCCACATGGGCCCAGCCGACTCAAGGTAAGGGCCACTATGTCGTGTCCACCCCCAGCCAAGTGTCTCGGCCAGCTCCTGCTGCAGAGCAAGTCCCCCTCCCACGGTGACTGAAGACTGCAGACCTCTTAGTTCCCACCGTGCTCAGGGATGGGTGGTTCTCTGCAAATCCGATGAGCCCCATTCAAGTGGCTAGCAGACTGCTGACGGGGCCTCAGTGGGAAATGGTGCTCAGTCTCGTGCCCATGGCCTCAGGGTTCCCTGCAGACAAGGGGCGCCGCTGGCAGCATCTGGTCACCTAGTCACTGTCCTTTGGTGGAGGCACAGCAGGGGGTGGCCATGGGCATGGTGAGTGCCCTCTCCCTCACTAGACTCACCCTTCTCGGCAGATGTCCCCCCCACCCAGCAGCTTCAGTGAGCGGAGTGGCGGGGGGCCCCTCTCACACTTCTATTCCGGCTCGCCCACTTCCTACTTCACCAGTGGCCTGCAGGCCGGCCTCAAGCAGAGCCACCTCAGCAAGGTAAGGTACCTCCCAGGCTGAGGCTGTTAAAACTCCTGCCCGGGGGCTGGCCAAGGGGGCAAGTCTGGGCTCCTCTGCCCCCAGCAGTCCAGTCGGTGGGTGGGACTGGTGACAGATGAGAAAGCAGAGGCTCTGACCAGATCTAAATCAACCCCAACCCCTGTCCTCCTCGGGGCCACGAGAAATGATGTTTCTTTCTCTCAGGCGGTGGGCTCTTCTCCACTGGGCTCTGGAGACGGGCTTCTGGGCCTGAGCCCCGGGCACAATGGCCACAGCCACCTGCTGAAGGTACGGGCGGTGGGGCTGGAACACCCAGAGCTGGAGAACTGTGGCCCTGGACAGCCCCTGATCTCCCACTCCCCACCCTCTGTCTCTAGACCCCCCTTGGTGGCCAGAAGCGCAGCTTCTCCCACCTGCTGCCCTCACCGGAGCCCAGCCCAGAAGGCAGCTACGTGGGCCAGCACTCCCAGGGCCTGGGTGGCCACTACGCTGACTCCTACCTGAAGCGGAAGCGGATTTTCTGAGTGGCTGGCCGGCCCCAAGATGGTCAGGGCTTGCCCCAAGCCACTGCTGGGTTTTCTGGTGTCTGTCTGTTTTCTTTTGATGATAGAAAAATCTCCAAAAGACTCTCCTGACCAATTAGCCAGAGCCTAGGGGGGCGGGGGTGCCTGGGGACCATCCTGCACCTCTGACCTGCTCTGGACACGGAAGCCCTGCAGCCTTAAGAGAGGGCCCCAGCCTGAGCTCTCTCCCCTCCTCTGCCACTGTTGGTCTCTGGGGTCCTCCTGCCTCGTCACTGTCGAGTGCCTTGGTGGTCTCCCTGACCTCCCATGAAGATCAGAGACTGCCCCTCTTTTTTTAACTTCAACCATTGACTTTTTTTTCCTTTTCTAATTTTTAATGTTTTGGGTTTTTAGGGGGGAAAAGACAACCCCAGCTAGGACACGCTTGAGTCCCGTGTCCTCACTGTTCGGTTCAAGGCCCTGGCTCTCTCCTCCAAGTCTGTTGCAGGCAAGGGCCTGGCCTACACCCTGTCCTTGGTTCCCAACTCCTTGTCCCCATCCCCATGCCTTCTGATGCCTTAAAGCCAGGCTCCAGGCCCAACCTGTCAGAGCATCTCAGACACCAAGCTGGGAAACTTGGCTCAGGACCAAACAGCTCTGGCCTGGGGATTGGGCTGTTCTGCCCAGGGTCCCTGCCCAAGGACAGAAGGAGAGTCGAGCCTTGGTCTTGGCAAAGCCACCCTCACCTTTGCCCCCAGAGCCAACTCTCACCTACAGCGCTAGTGACACCCCTGCTGTCTGTCTGGGAGTGGCAAGCACTATGCCTAGCTCACTGAGCCCCATCTTCCCACAAGACAATTGCCACTTCTGTCCCAGGCCAGATCCCTGGAGCTGGCCTCCCATTAGCCCAGTGTCCCCAAATTATCAGTTGTATGCAGATAAACGTGCCTGTCTGCCTGAGGTGACCTGCCCCTGGCCAGTTGGCCCACCATCTCCCCACCCCACTCCACCCCCAGATTCCAACCATCTCCACTCCCGGGATGTCCTCTCCCCAACCCCTCCCTACACACCTTTGCTGAATTAAAGTTTGTAAGTAAATGGTTTTAAAGAAAACAAGGTTACCTGGCTGGTTCTTGGGAGTATATAGTTGGGTGGGAGGTCTGGGAATATGTTACAGGTCTCTGGGCGTCCGACTGGCTTGTGTCCCCAGCCCTGGGTACCCAGGTAGCCAAGTGTCAGGCGGTCACCCTGCCAGTTAAAGGCACCTGCGTTTGTATTCGCGTCATTACGGGACATTCCGCGGCGCGGGCCGGTTGTGCGCATGCTTCCTTGCTGGGTCACGTGACGCCTGTCATGGCCGCCACCGTGGCCCGGGTCGGCGTGCATACAGGCATGTTGCTGCGAGCGACCCGGGGAACCAGGTGGAGCCGACCTGAGAACTGTGCAGGGGCCCGGGAGGTGGCGACGCCGGCGACAGCCAGGGAGTTCCGGGCCACAGGTGCTCAGGGTGCTCGGGGTGGGCGGCGTTAACCCGTCTGATGCGGGCAGGGCGCGACGCCCCCCTCACCTGTTTTCCAGGCTCGCGCGCAGCGGGGGAGGAGGAAGCCGTCGGTGGCCCCGAGCAGTCCGGCGACGTGTGAGTGCGGGGGGGAGGCCTCCCCGTGCCCCCCGCCCTCGGATCGGGAGGTGGCGCCGCGCCCCGCAGCCGCTTCGCCGGACCCCTCTGGTCCCGCGCAATCTTCCTGTCCGTCAAACCCCAGCCCCTACGCCCTCCCCGGCCTTTTCCCCAATTCGGCTTCCGCACCCCCGTGTGTCTACAGGGTGAACGTGGTGTTGATAGACCGGTCAGGCCAACGGATCCCGGTGAGCGGCAGAGTCGGGGACAATGTTCTTCACCTGGCCCAGCGCCACGGGGTGGACCTGGAAGGTGGGAACCTGGCGCAGAGAATTGGGGGGGAAGCTTGTTTCCAAAAGCTGTCTTAACTCATTGCTGCACCTTCCCATCACACGTAGACCACTTTCCAAATACCCGCGGGGCCTCTCCCCAGCCCAGCTCCTGAACTTCAAGACTTAAAACTCCCGCTCTCCTGAGCCTGGGTTTCCCCTCCTTCCTTCCTTCCTTCGTTTCAGTCCTGCTGGCTCCATACTGTTCCTCCATCAGCCAGGCCCACCCCAGCCTCGGGACTTTTGCTCTTGCTTTGCCATCTGCCCCGCAGGACTTTCCCAACAGAGCTAGCGCCTTCTCGTCCTGCATGTCTCAGTATAAATGTCATCTTAACAATAACAGCCCTCTTACATTTGTTTAACTCACTGCTATGGAGCCATGACAACTCATAGCGAGTCTATAGTGTTCTATAGGAATGCCCTGTGAGTTTCGAAGCCATCTTTCTCCCTCAGAGTGGCCGGTGGTTTCAAACTGTAGACCTTTCCATGAGCAGCCCAATCCAGGCCAGCTATGCCGCTTGGGCTCCTTCCCATTCCCCCCCTTAACTTCACTGCCATCGAGTCAAAGCTGACTCATAAGTGACACCCTGTGGGCTTCCTAGACTGTCACTGTTGATGGGAGTAGAAAGCCCAGTCTTTCTCCTGTGGAGCTGCTGTTGGTTTTGAACTGCTGACCATGCAGAATACAGCCCAACACATAACCATTATGCCACCAGTTAGCTCAGCTAAAATTCTCATGCCCTGAGCAGTGTATCATTTGTGTGTGTGCTGTCCTTGGGGCACTTGTCAGCAGTCTACTGCTTCCTCCACCTCTATGCTAAGAAGCAGAGACCTACTTGCCACTCGTGTGTGGTCAGTCCTGGGTTGTAAAGAGGCCTGATGGCACTGCTGGTTAGGTGTTGGGCACCCCCCTCCCAGGGAGAAAGATGAGGCTGTCAGCTCTCGTCAAGTTTCACAGTCTCGGAAACCCCATCTAGGGTTGCTGTGAGTCAGAAGCTGCTGGATGGCAGTGGGTTTGGGTTCTTTAGTCATGGTATCTGAATGTTCAAACAAAAGCCCCTTGGTGTGGAGTTGATTCTTCGTGATTGCATCGGTGGCCCCAGAATGGACCCACCCCACAGGTTTTCCATGGCTGTGATCTCTGTGGAGGAAGTCTTGCCATCCTTGGCTCTAAGGAGCACTCTGGCCATACTTCATCCGCTTACATATTTTGGACATGGTAAAGTGGAGGGGCAGTGGAAAAGAGGATGGCCCGCAACGAGACGGACCAACACGGTGGCTGCAACAAGGGCTCAGACACAATGGTGAGGATGCCGCCATAGGAGCGGGCAGAGCTTCGTTCTGTTGTGCAGAAGGTCACTACATGACTCGGCCCCTAACAACAACTAATTTCTCCGGAAGAAGACGGCTTTCTCCTGTGGAGCAGCCGGTAGGTTCAAATCGCCAGCCTATTGGTTAGCAGGCATGCACTCCAAGCCCTGTTCAATCATCGGCTTAAGCACTTGCTAACCAAAAGGTTTTTGGTTCTAACCTGCCCGATGGCTCTGCAGAGGAAAGACCTGGTGATGTAGTCCTGCTAAGACTATAGCTAAGCTAACTCATGGAGCAGTTAAACTCTGAGCAGTATAATCGGCTCCGGGTCACCCAATTTGAACACGTTGTTGTCACTATTCTATGCTGTTGAGTCAGTTCCAACGCATAGTGACCCTGTGTACCATAGGACACGCCCCCCCCCCCCCCCCCCCCCCCTCCATCTACATCAGACTCAGAACGGCCCTTATGTTGGAGCCTTGTTGGAGGCACTGTGCGATCCATCTAGGCAAGGATCTTCCTCTTTTTCCACTGCCCCTCTGCTTTACCAAGCATGATGTCCTGCTCCAGGGATTGGTCTCTCCAGAACAACGTGTCCAAAGTACTTAAGTCTGTGAGACCACTGAGGACTGTGCTGCCTGGACTTCTTCCCAGACAGGTCTGTTTGTTCTTCTGGAAGTCCGTGGTACTTTATTAGTATTTGTTGCAGTCGTGGTAGCAGGCACTATTCTAAACATGCTAACAATTCACAGATTGGGTTTCCTGGAAACTGTGACGGGGGAGACTTCCTTTCCGATTGTAGATTGGGAAACGGAGCCCCAGGTTAAGTAGACCTGGCCCAAGGTTAAGTAAGTGGCAAAACTCGACCCCATCCATTTTCATGATTCTGTGCTGCCCTTCTCGGAATTCTGAGCGCCTACTGTGTGCCAGGCACTGTGCTGGGGGCCTGGGAGACAGCAGTACAAAACAGGCAAGACCCCTGTCAGCTTTCACCAATGCCCACCTAATAACCCACTGCCATCAAGTCGATTCCAAACTCCTGGGAGTTTCCCAGATGGATTCTGTGCAGGAATAAACAGCTTCATATTTCCCCCATGGAGCAGTTGGTGCCTTTGAACTGCCAGCGTTGCAGATAGCAGCCCACTGCTCAGCGCACCACAGTCCAGTAATTCCCCCAGTAAAGAACCGCAGGAACAGCTGGGAAGAGCAGCCTGCAGGAGAACGTACAGGGTTTGGCCCGTAGTGGGGTGGGAACCAGATCTGATCACTAAAAGATGTCGGGGTGGGGGATCAGGGCAGGCCTGCCAGGAGTTCTGTTCTGGAACCCACCAGCCCCTAGAACGGCTCCGTATCACCAGGAAGGCAGACCTTGGCTGTCAGCCCAGGGTGGGAGGCTGGGAAACAAATTTGAGAGGCACATGCTTAGGTTCAAATTTTGCGTCTTAGCAGCTGTGGGGCCCTGGGAGGACTTAGCTTCTCTGGGCCTCAGTGCCCTCGTCTAAAATGGAATGGTTTTGTTCTATCTCATCGGGTGGTGGGGAGGATGAATTGGTCTCGTGCATGTGCTTAGTGGGCAGCAAGCAGCCGGGATCCCTTCGTGACCGGACAGGCCCTGTGAGGAGGAGGCTAACAAGGTGAGAAAGGCCGACTCCTAGTAGCCCTCTAAGACAGGGTAGAACTACCCCTGTGGGTTTCCAGGATTAACTGTAAGGGAGGAAAAAGCCTCTTCTTTCTCCCTCGGAGAGACTGGTGGTTTCGAACTATACTGACTTGGTGGTTAACAGCCCAACAAGTAACTACTGTGCCACCAGAGCTGCTTTGGTGGAGAGCCCTGGGTACGACTTGGGAGTTGAAAAGTTCAGACATGTAGTCTCCAGGGAGCCAGGCAGATGAGTCACAAGAGCCCCTGGGGTGACCCTTCCAGGCACTTGGGAAGATGCTGCTGGGTCTGGAGGCTGCCCTTCCAACTCGGTCCTCATTGCAGGCCATGTCTGGGCAAGGGAGGAGAGTGGGGAGAGCCCAGCATGGTCCTCATCACTGAGGGCCAGACAGTGCTTGGGGCAGAGAGGAGAGTAGGCCTGTGCAGAACAGGCCAACCCAGAGGTCACGATGGCTGCTCAGACCCAGTAAACACTGCCCCACCATGAGTGGGGGCAGGGTGGGGAATGGAGGAACAGTCGGGTCCCCAAACCCAAGTCGTATCATGCTGTGGTGGGCAGAGCGTTTCAGGCCCAAGGAACAGATTTGAAGGCTGTGTGGTCGGGTGGAGTCAGCCCGAGAGGCCAGTAGGGAGGGGGAGGGGTGTTATCGCTGGAGGATTGTAAGCCAGGAGAGACATCTCCATTGGGCATTGACCTCCATGGGCCCAAGGGCAAGTGGGCACCAAGAAAGACAAGGGTTCTGTAGACCGAAATCCAAATTCTCTGGCCTACACCCCACCCCCGGCCCCACTGGGCGTCTGAACAAGAGGGAGGCCTGAACGTTTATGGCAGGCCTTATTCCTCCCAGCAACACTGAGGTCGTCCATGCCCCGTCTTATATCCAGCCAGGTCCTCACCTCCAGGGGAGCCCTTGGGAATCAGGACGCCCCTGCAGTGACCCAGGAGGGAAGCCTGAGCCACCCACAGTGACGCCCCTTCCTTTGCTCCCCCCAGGGGCCTGTGAGGCCTCTCTGGCCTGCTCCACCTGCCACGTGTACGTGAGCAAGGACCACCTGGATCTCCTGCCTCCACCCGACGAGAGGTGAGCTGGGGGCACCCCGTCTTTGGCTGCCCGATCCCTCCTCCGCCGGCAGTGCGTCCAGCCCGTCTCACGCCCCTCCCCGCCCCGCAGGGAAGACGACATGCTGGACCTGGCCCCCCTCCTGCAGGAGAACTCCCGGTTGGGCTGCCAGATCCTGCTGACGCGTGAGCTGGAGGGGGCCGAGTTCACCCTGCCCAAGATCACCCGGAACTTCTACGTGGACGGCCACGTCCCCAAGCCCCACTGACACGGGCAGCCGCCCGCACCGCACGCCGAGGCCCCGGGCCCCGAGCCCGAGGAAGCAGAGCCCGCCGCGCCCGGGGCAGGCCGGGAGTCGGAACCGGAACCGGAACCAGGGCCCACAGCCCCCGTGGAGGTGGGGGTGGGGCCCCCTACTGGGGCGTTCCCCCCCAAAAAAAGCCAGCCAGCGGATGGGATGCGCTGGGGGGTGGGAGCCACTTGCGGCCCCAATAAAGCTGTCGCACTGACTTGCAGCATCCGCGTGTCCTTGGGGGGCCGTGGGGC